GAAAACCAACTAGTTTGTGAAAATTCTAGTTAAATACTAGTATATTGAAGATGAAATCATACCAGTTCGTTACTTGTAGAGAAGTCCACCAGTAAAGGTAGAAATGATAATTTGCACCACTGTTTGTTGTTGTTATATCGGCAGACCGCAAACTGACATTAATCGTTACACCGTCATCATAGCTGAGTGGTTAGAGACCATCGCTTTAGCGCGTTAAGCCTCCGGTTCGAGTCCGGCTAGAGGCAAATTAACTTTTAATTCTTTTTTTTTTTATATTTTAATTTCCACCTCCACGTCATTATGGCACATTATCGACCAGAATTTCGTCTCCAGAATGAGCTTAGGTTTCTTGCATCAATAAATTTATATCCAAAATGTGTCCAAGTTAATCGTCTATCTAAGTGGATGTTACTGACGAGAAACCTTCTCCAACATTAGGGAGCACATTTCCCGCTTGGCTGGAAGAAACTGAAAAAAATCTATTAAATCGAAGGTATAATTGGAAGAATGTCTCTAAGGCACAATGAGCGTATTTATGGTAGGTCTTTAACCTACCCTTTTAATCAACCAAGAAGCTAGGCAACCAACTGGATGCAAATTTTTCTTATATATAAAACTCTAACATCTAAAAGTTACCGACCGTTTGACTCGAGATTTTCATGGATTGTTTCTATTGATCCTGGTACGATAACAAAATTCGGGAAGTAAACCCGCATGCGATTGCTTTTTAAATTTTAGCCATTTTATTTTTTTCAGTGATCGGAATATAAATTTTTATTTTTTTCCAAATGCTTAAAGGGGCACACCTAGTGTGAAATTTTAGAAAAATCATTTTTTTCATATTGCGTTACCTTTAAAAATAAGATATTAAAATTTCAAATCGATATCTCAAATAGTTTTTGAGTCATAGCAATTTAAAGAGCAGCCGCTCGGCAGCTAGATAATCTCATTAGCTACGAGTGAAAACGATCATTTTATCTTTAATCGCGTTTTTCTCGAAACAGCATTTTCCGAATTTGCTGCAGTGATTACTCAAAAGCAAATGATCCAATCAATATCGAATTTTTCTTACATGTTCTATATATAGTTCTCCGTACAATGACCTATCGATTTTTGATAATGCCAATTTTCGATTTTTTTATCGTAGGTCATTGTACAGACAATATTATTATATTATTATATTATCCACGGAGAAGGCCGGAATCACTGCAGCAGTGAAGGACCTGTTTTTGCGCCGTTGGAGATCGACTATAACTTAAAAAGTATTTAATGTTTTTCTTCAAAAATTTCATTGTATATTCTTGAAACATTTATAAATATATTCTTAAAATTTTGAAATAATTGATATAGTATTTTTTATAATAAAATTTCCCAAAAATCACCTTTTTTTGGGCCATTACACTAGGTGTGCCCCTTAATAAAATTATTAAATTATAATATAAACTCTCTAATCCAGACAACTTATTGGTCAAGAAGTTAGTTGCATAATGGAGTTAATATAGAAAAAAAATGTTGATACTTAATTATTAAGCGATTGCCGTTTTTTTTTTGGCGCTTTTAGTCAAGAGCCCCAATAAGTATGCTTTACATTTGAATATCCTCAAGCTAAGAGCTATCAACCTTACTGTTTTTAAGAGTAATTGACGATTTGACCTTTATATTTACCAGACATTAATCAAATTTTTTAATGTGTTTATACACTCATATGTGTCTAGAAGAATAAATAGATATTTCTTTGGGATGTATTTTAGAACGCTATAAAATCCGCTTGAACATTGAATAAAGTAATAATTAATTTATTCTTTATAATTATACATAAATATAAATTTTTTTTATATTCACCAAAAGCCTACATCAGATAAATGGCAAAACATGTACGAAAGAGCACAAAAAACGTGATTAATGTTTAAAATAAATAATTAATTATCACATGTAAAAACGCCCTAAAGCCGGTCAGTGTAGTTGGTAAAAAACAATTTGACAAACTCACTACAATGCAACGTGAACTGCAGTGCCCATCAGTCATCAGTTGATGTTTTCCCGCCTATACAGCGGCCGCAGTGGCCGAGTGGTTAGCATTGCCTACTGCCATTCAAATCCTAGTGCAACCCACATCCAAAAGTTTATATAGAAAATTAATTTAAATAAAAAATTAAGTTAAGTTTTCTAATTTCGGTCGTCCTCGGCAGAGAATGTCAACCCCTCCGAGTGTATTTCGAACATGAAAAAGAGACTTCTCATAAAAAAACCAGCAGCCATTCGGAGGCGGCTTAGTAAAAACTGTAGATACCTCCATTTTTTGGAAAAACATGAAGACGAAAATCACTTCAGCGGCAGTGCTGTTTATAATGTAACTACTTCATGGTCTACATTTCATTTGCATTTTTTTTTTTGTACACTTTGCTATTGCTCCAAAGCTGCATAATCGCCGTTAGTCACTTTGCCGCAGCCTAAATTTCCAGCCTAAATTTCACTGAAAGCAACCAAAAAGAAAAAAATAAATAATTAAATGAAATGAAAATCTGAGTAATAGTAAAAGCCGCATTAGTAATCCAACAGACAGGCGAATAAAAAATTAAATTTATTACCACAAGTCATGAATCTCTCCATGAAGCGCATGCGTCACATGCGACGAGCGTTCAACGCGACGCAACCGCCCAGCTGTTCCCTTCCATACTCACCTTATCGAATAGCTTAGCAGGCGAAGCTACCATTTGTGTGTGCATAGTTTTTCCAGCACAATTTTCTTGTCCAGCGCAAATCAGCTATACTCTTCTGCTTTTTGTTGTTCTGACATTTGCCTGGTGTTTAAACGTTCGTGCCCTCGGTGGGAATGTTGAGAAAGAGCTAAGCTAATTCTTAGTTTTTATTTATGTATTAGTTTGTGTTGGTCGACAGTTTTGAATATGTTTTTTTTTCTACACTAGTCGTGTGTACACATCTTAGCATGTGGCATGATATATATGTATATATATATATATACGTATAATTGAAGAGAATTCCCTTTCGGTGTAGCATTATGTGCAAGTAAGGTTATGTTGAACTGGCTATCGATGTGTGAGCATCAATACACTTAGTCCAGTGTAGGCTCATTGTAATACCATGCTGTTCACCGCAACATTGAGCTTTACTATCTGTCCTCATCGTTTCCTTTATATTTTTTACTAGATAATTTATCTGGATGTCTGTTATCTTTTACAAATCACCGATAAAAATATCACGGAAGCAAGCTTTGCTCAGAGCTGAGCTGTCGTAGGAGAAGAGAGACTATTTCTTTCTCTTCATCGTACTACTGCTTCTACAACTTCTCCTCAAGCACCCAACCTTGCCGCATGGCGTCCTATCAAGCACTGATCTGTTCCCTTTACTAAAGACTTAGAGATGATCTCTCTTTTGAGTGTATATTTTGGATAATCCTTTGCAATCCCATTTTGCCCACGGTTGTTTAGAAATTTTGCAAGTAACAGTGCGATTCCATCTTACATGCTCATAAGTTAAGACTCTGAGTAGCAATATGTATGTAGCAAAAAGCACACGAATGCGTTCTTTATCAGGAAAAATATAAAGATCTGCTTTATCGTGCCTTGCCTGGAAAGTTCGCCTGCCTGTGCTCAGGAGCACAAGTGCGAGAAAATAATATTTTCTATTTAGCCATCTCCTGAAGAGATCGACGACAATCCAGCACAATTTTTGAAATCGTTGTAAGCGAGCCAAGCGACTTAATCGCTGCCTGACTAATGACGATAATGAGGATATCCTTGCCGGTGAGTTCAGTTCCAATTTTAACTACGTTGTCATTATTTCTGATATTTCTGTTTGAAATACACCGCACTGATAGAGGAGCTAGTAAGAGAGTTCAAAAGGTTAGTAAGATCCACCTTACCGTATTCAATACTGTCGTTTGGGACATCGAAGCTATTGCGCCATTCTTCCCTTTTGCCAGTGAAAGTTGAGCAGCAGCGGTATGTACAACTTGGTATGAAATTGGTATGAAATTGTATCATACTAAGATAGTCGACTATCCAAATCGTTGGTTATTTCCCCGATCTAGCTCCTTATGTGGAGAGCGGTTAGCGCTGCAATCTGAACGCCCATTAGGTTTATTCGAGAATCACATTTGAGGCCTGATCTGTGTTCTTCATTTATAGGATTGACATTCGTCGCTCTGTTTAACGTAGGCTCCCATACACTGACCCCGTACAAAAGTATTTGTCACATAACAGATGCAAATTATCATGGACATATCTGCAGGTTTAAGCCACATATCTTAGCAAATCACCTTTTAAATATATAAAGGGTGGTGGAGACCTTCTCATTTTTCACGTACTTCGTTGGCTTCCCAGTTCAGCTTCTTACCAAGAACTACACCCAACAATTTTTACTTGTCTCGAGGCCAACTTATTGTCGGTACTTTAGAACTTTTAGGACTCTTAGGAAGTATATTTTCTTGTTCGAGCTGAGTCGCCTAGGATTTATGGAAACTTACCCCGTTAAGCAATGACTATATCATCAGCGTAAACAACGATTATGAGTTCTTCTCTAGACCCTACGAGGCAGCTTTGACAGCATCCGTTAAGATGTTGTTCAATGCTTTGTCTACTCGTATGTCAAGAATTCCTTTTGTGTTGCTGAGTGTAGCCTTACCGGCATTTAGAGTGAATGCGCCAGTTAAAAATACCAAGTGAAACCAGTTCGTTCTCCATCTGATTCTTCCGACTGAGTGGAGATCTTCCTCTTTCTCTGCATCCACCGCGGGCAATGCATCGAATAACTTCAAATATGAAGTGTTCTCAGCCCTTCGGTCGACATAACTTAGCCAGCGTAGTACACAGGCTGTTGGAGTTAGCCGATGCTGCTGTTGCATCCACGTGGTTAACACAACAACGTGCCCTGCATACTAGATTTTAAAGTAATAATAACTTTGTATTATACCATTAACACACCTGCACATACATTTCGTTAATAATCTGAAAATTTTGCATTTGTTTCTTTTTTTGCAGAGCGAAAATGCTATAGGCGCCCATCGTGTTTTTGAAAAAACATCCTTTTCCTGTGCTGGGCGTCCAGCAGGCTATTACGCAGATATTGAGACTGGTTGTCAGGTACACGTACATACATATAAAAAATTTTAGCTATCACCTGTGGGGGCTATGCAGTAAAGCAGTCTTTTCACTAATCTATATATGTAGCTATATAACTAACGGTAAACTTATTAATATTATCAAAATTACATATTTTCCCAGGTCTATCATATGTGCGATGGCTTGGGGCGTCAATTCAGCTACTCCTGTCCCAACACGACACTCTTCCAGCAGCGTATGCTAATCTGTGACCATTGGTATATGGTGAACTGTTCACGGGCAGAGAGTGATTATGCTGCTAATTTATTGATTGGTGAGTAACGATGGAAAAGAGATGCCGAAGTCAAATTGCAAAAAATAAATTTCTAGATATGAGGTTATCGAGAAGAAATGAAACACATATAATTTAATGTATGATCATAAGTTTAGCTCTGTTATAAATATAAGGGTTTGTCATTATTCTATTAAAATGATTTCGGGAAAGTCACCGGTGCGGTTAACTCGAATAAATTCCAGCCGAGAGGGCCGATTTGCGACGTGCTGAATATTCTCTTCCCAGGCGTCAATATCTTCGGGCTTTTCTGCGTATACAAGCAAAAATAGTTCCGCAGTGTTAAATTGAACGATCTCGGAGGCCACGCTACAGGACCACGACCCGAGATAATTGCAGGCAGCGTCGCCAGGAAAGAAAAAGTGGTAAGAGTTGCGTACTGCCATGCTGTAGACCAGGGTTTGAGGCCTAATAAGACCAATATCTGAAATTGTTGAAAATAAGGCAGGGAATCTCAAGGCACTCCGAGTGTATTTCCGACGTGATATGAAAACTTCTCATAAAAGTCTATCAGCCTTTCGTAGGCAGATCAGAATACGGGCCCCTCTATTTAATGAAAAATATCAAGACGACCACAAATTGGAAGAGAATTACATAATATATTTAGCGCTCTCCACTGACAGTTATATTATGAACGGCTTCATTTTTGTGGTAGTAAAAATTGCCTCTGTCCCTAGAGCACACCAAACAGTGACTTTTAGATGTTATAATGGCGTCTCAACCACGGCTAGTGCAAATCAAATACAACAATTTTTTTCACTCAAGTACCCATTCAACCAACTGTGAGCCTCATCGCTGAACAAAACTTCCCTACGAAAATCCGTATCGGTGGCCATCTCGTTGGTCGATGGTCGTTCGGCTCCAAAGCTCGCACGTTTTGGGTTTTGCAATGCCATGATGTAAGACCTTGATCCCTTCCCGAAATCTTCATTCGGATCTTCTTCAAGACTCTGCCCCACCAGTCGCAATAGCGTCTTCGTTGCTCACTGTATGGCGTCTCTGAGAATGCGGATTATACACCGAAGTAAATGTAGCGCGAAACCGGTCTGCTGTTGCCCAAATTACCGACTCTGTTGGGTGATAATGTCGAACGAATATTGAGCGAACCATTATTTTGGTAAAAATAAAAAATTTTAATAGTGAAGTTCAAAAATGTCAGATGAGATCCTCTTATATTGCATTTGATAAACGATAAATAAGAAAGATATTTTTTTTTGTCCCTTTTGCAGGCCAACGAGACAAGCCATTTGTGAATGATGAGGAAAATAGTTTACGTACACCACGTCCCGACCTCTTGGATCGTCCGTATGCGCCAGACTACTCTGGAGAGTCGTTTAGAAATCAATACAAGGTGAGAGGAGAAGATTTGCATTTACTATTATTAAAAAAAGAAAAAATTATAAAAATAAAAAATCTTCTTTATCCTTCCTTCACTTTTACGTTCTACAGCAACTTCCTGCGATTCAGAATCAGATACAAGATACCGACGCCCAAAAGTTTCAGGATAAATTAAATACGATCCCACAGGCCGCGCCGGGCCAACAACATTGGAAAATACCGTCGCCCAGCCGCACAATACTGCCACCAGCCTACGAAGCGCAGACCACAGACGACCGCGCTTCACAAACGAATAGCGATAATGTGCGTTTTGTGCCCAAAACTGCACAGCCTACAGCGTCGTCGAAACAAACAAAGACAACATTCAATCGTCCAACACCCTCAAGTGTTAGCGCCAGTACACAAGTCCAGCCGATCAATCGTTTCAACAATGCTGCACTGCATCAGCGTGGTCAATCTAACGAGCCTGAAGATCTGGGCACGAGTCACAGCACACGTTACAATACCTCTGCTGATTTTAATTCCGCCGAACAGCCAAATAGCAAGACAGCAAGTGTGTCGAATAAGAACAAAATTAGTAGTTCCTTCGGTATAGTTCCACCAGCTACCGCTTCAACCACTACAACCACTACAAGGCCGGTGACACCTACCGCCTCAAGCAAACTTACGACTAGTAGCACCAGCAGCGCGGCAATCACAACAAATTTACCGATTAAAATACCATCGAAGGTATACGAGCCGCCTTACGTGTATCCCATATATAATGAAAACGAAACTGTGAGCACACAGTTACCGCTACGCGCGTCATCTGCCACACCATTTACAGTCTCTCCCACACTTACCAGGCTTACATCTACCACGCCAGTACCGCCACCCAGTCGACCGACCACGCTAGCAGGGAAACCCTTTGCAGCCCCATCAAGCGGCATAACCACCAAGGCACCCAATTTCGGTGGACGCAGCCAAAATAATTTAATACAAAACAGTTTCACTCACAACTCTAAGGATGTACGTACTCCAACACCAGCGCAAGGTTTCAAGCCGCCTACACCGCGTCCACTTATTAGCACAACAACCAGTGCCACGAAAAGCACGGAGAGCTCACCATTTGATTACAGCATACCCACAACGAATCGACTACACTTGCCCACACCAATCATCAACACCGCATCGTCCACAAACACAGGCACAGCTGCAGCCACTGGCAGTGACGCCACACCGCCATCCAAAGAATTGCTGCCACCGTACCAAGAGTTCGTGCAACACGACATTGCCACCACACAAGGACCGCCCATCTACTACGAGTGGAAAGTACCCTCGAATGGACTCGAACCGCCTAAGTTAGATCCACCGATTGGTGTTGATGGACGCGAATATCCCGAGCCATCATTCGATTATAACACCATTAGTGGCGCAAGTGAAGGCAAAAACACACAAACCGCTAAAAGCAATAGCTCACCGACGGATAAAGTAGCAAGTGACAAGAGCCAAACTGCACGCACGCCCATTTCGCGCTCCATTAAGGAGACGGGTCAGCCAAACAGTGTGCACCGTGTAGTAAATGTTGAGAGCACGAAAGCGACAAGCACCACGACACCAGTAGCAACAGATCGCTCAGATACAATATCAGCACCAACATCGGATATCACACAGTTGCGTCGAGATTACTCCGTGCCCGAGTATTTATTTCCATTAGAATCGGCAGGTCGCACCGGCTATTTGTCCACGGACTCTTACAATTCATTCCGCCTGAAGATACCTGAGCATGGTGAGGAAGAGATCGAGGATCATCGGCATTGGTTTGGCGAAAATCCGAAATGCCCTGAATGTCATCCATCCTTCGTGGTGCCGGGCACTTGTGAACCTTGCATAAGGAGATAAGCGCAGATCGAAGCCGGTCGGCGGTCGGCGGTCTAAGATGAAGGGTGGAGCGTTTAGTATTTGAAACGAAATAAGAAATACTTTGAAATCGTAGCAAAATAATGTTTTGTTTATATATAATATATTTTTTTGTTTGTTTGTTTTATTTTATTTTTAGTTTCATTGCGTAACGGTTTATTTTACATATGAATGTATATACATACATTCATAGCTGTATTTAGTGGAAGAGCAGTGACTAATGAAATAGTATTTAAATATTTGCCAGTACACTATAGCTATTACATACATACATAAACATATATATGCAGATATATATGAATATCTGTCTACGTAATCACATACAAATGTGCATTAATATACATAAGTATTGCGCAATGCTACCACAATGTGCCTGCAGTCCTTCTCTTTCGTCATCTGTTACACCTGAAAGCTAAACCAAACTCCTTGATCCGATAGGTGGCGCAATCATCGGCCTTATCGGAAAGTTCGGTCTTAGTTTTCGACTTCCGTGCCCATGTATTTTCGCAAAATTTTAAAGCTTTGTACATTAAACTGACAAGCTCCAAGAACCGTTTCCACAGCGCTTCTTTTCAATGAAACAAATGAGCTTACATTGTGCTGAGAGCTTAATCCTAATTGTGAAAGCTCAAAGCAATTCTCAAACAGCACACTTACTTCTGAAACGTTTTTGTTGCCTTCTAAGTACTTTTATTTCTTTTTATTTATAATTTTAACAGCTTTCATTGCAAATGTATGTGCATAAGTAAATAAGTTTTATAAAATTAGTTTTAATTTCATAATAATTAAGTTTTATTTTATAATATAAATATAAAAAAATTTATATGCACATGTGTATGTATTTGTATAATTGTTATTAAATAAAAATTAAACGGAAAATGTAGAAAAGTCTTCAATATTTATATATGTATATACGAGTATATGCCAAGATTTGTTCAACTTTTCAGGATAGTTTCACTGAAACACGGCGCGTATTCTTGTGAAGTTGGAAAATTTCTAAGAGAGTTGCCAGAGTTAGTCAGAAAAACATTGGTGAAGTAAAAGTTTCGTTCGGGTTTTCATTGATTTTTCAAAATATGATAACCTTATGTACATTTGTCCGATTTAAGTCGATTTTCGACGACTGGCCTCCCGACGCGTGGTGCATCTTTGACATCGAAATTACCGGAACGGAACCTAGCAAACCACTTTTGTGCTACACGTTCGTTTACAGCATCGGGCCCATAAACTAAACTAATTTTTTCAGCCGCCTCGGCTGATTTTACGTCTTGATCGTAGAAAAATTGTAAAATTTAGCGAATTTTCTCTTTGCTGGTGTCCATCTTTGCCGAGCGCTCACTACGTACAGAGGCCATCAATCGAAAAACTGTCAAAGACAAACTTTTAGCGCGTATAAAGACGTTTTCAGCGCCATATAGTATGGCATGATGCGACACGCAACATTAGTGCTATGGACAACAACGCCATTTCTTAGATAAAAACCGAACGAACTTCTTACTACACCTAATATAATTTTGAAAGAATCTTATTTATGGTTCGATTTACTTTAAACTTGGTACACAGGCAACTCATTGCCTAAATCAAGATCGGAATCACTTTTTCTTCTAGAAATTGCACCAGATACCGATCTTATTGAGAGACGAAGATCTGGGCACGAGTTATAGCACACATTACGATACCTCAGTTGAATTTAAATCCGCCGAGCAGCCAGATATCAAGTCTACGATTGTGTTAAATACCGATTTCGTTGGTTTCGTGGTTCGCAGGTTTCTTTTTGTCTAGGCAAACGAATACCGAAATACCGGAAATGGACGAGCGAATAAATTCCATTTGCCTGAATTTATCTACGTTGGTAGTTTTTTGTCTAAGCCAACATATGAAATACTTACATTTTATGCACTTTCATATTCTTCTTCTTCATTATTATCGCAATAGCTTGCTTTAGTGATCTGTCGCACGCGCTCTATGGGTATTACTCTAGATGACGTCAGAGAGATTATATTTTATTCTAAAAAAGACTTTAAAAGGTGTTGATCACCAAACTCAGTAGTGTTGGAGTGCAAGCCCGAGATGGACACCAGCAAAGACCAAATACGTTACTCTCTACAATTTTTCTTCCATAAAGGTGAAAACGCAAGCCAGGCAGCTGAAAATGTAAACAGTTTTATGCGTCGCTGTCTTTCTGATAATCTTGTTGCAAAAGATGGTCCATATCGAGACTGACCGTCTCGTTTCCCAGGTGTTGAGTGTTGCACCAAAAATAGTTTGGAACAACTGGAAAAATGATGAATACACAAAGAGCTCCATGTATTTGGTGCCAAATGAGTTGACGAGAAAATGACTCATGTACCTAATTTTCATCTGCGAGTCACTGTTGAATCGCAAAAAAAAACGCCAAATTTTAGCAACGTAAAACGAAAACGGATGCGGTCAGTGCACTGAATCGACACAAACAGCCTAAAGGAATACTGTGCGGTTGGCAGGAAATCATGCACTATGAGCTCCTCCCCGTTGAAACCAGCTAAGGCCAACAGCAGAGGAATTGTGTTTCATCAGAACAACGCCATACCACACAAATCGATAATGACTCGGCAGAAGCTTCGAGAGTTTGGCTGTGAGGTACTTGCGCGTCCACAGTATGGTCCCGACCTAGCACCAAGTGATCACCAACTGTTCCTGTCTACGGCGAATGATTTGGCTGGTGAAGAATTGGCCGCAAGAGAAGCCTCTGAATACCAATTGACCTAATACAATATACTATATTTATTTGAGGGAAATTAAACGCTTTGAGTTTGAGAAACCGTTTCGCAGAAAATTTCAATCCGTTAGCTCATTCATAAACGGCGCGTTTCGATCATTCTTTGAGAGCTGCAGCTAAAATTAAACTCAGAAGAGGTTGTAGCGCTCTTAATTGCGCAACTACTCCAGCAATTGGTAACATTCTAAAGAAAGTTGAAAAGACTGGACCGGTTACAAGGATTACAAGGTCATTGCATCATCGTTTTGCTATTGTTGGCCAAAGTGTAACCCAATATAACCCGAATGTGTATATTTCTCGACGTTCCTAAGAGCTGGGACTTTCCTCTCTCACATTATGGCATATTTTACACTTAGACTTGCACAGGCATCCGTATAAAGTCCAGCGCACACAACATTGAAGCTAGCTTATCATTCACAATACCGATTGCGTGCTTGAATAACAAGCAGTGGACGACGTTTTTTCGAACAGCACTTTCTCCAGCAACGAGACACGTTTCTCACTCGGGGAAATACAAATTGTAGCATTTGAGGCGCCGAGAATCCTCAAATAATTGAAGTGACCACATTTCGCCCAAAAACGAAAAGCCGGTGTGGTGCACTCTTTGATAACTCTTTGAAAACAACAACGACGAGACTCTCTTTGTCGATTCGGAGCATTAAGGTCGTATCATAACCGACTTATCTTGGCCTCCAATTGAGGCACACAACTTGGACAATATGTGGTTTCCACATGATGGTGTCCCGTGTTACACAATACGAGCGAATATGGCTGCATTGCGAGAGAAATTTCCCAGCCGCGTAATCTATTGTCTTGGCGAAGTCAATCGGCCACCGGATTCATGCGATTTGACACCGTTATACTTTTTTTTTGTAGAACTACGTGGAAGACAGTGCTAATGCGAATGAGCCTTTAACTCTTGAGCGCTTGAAAACTGACATTCCGCAAGTTATGGCTAATATACCGTCCAATATGTGCCAAAAATTAGTCGAAAACTAACTCAAACGGATAGAAGTTTGCAAAAGTTCGGAAGACGGTCATGAGAATGATTTAGTATTTCACATATGAATAACAAATTTCAAACTTTATAGTAGAAAAGGACTTGCATGAAAAACATAATAATTTAAGTGCATTAAATTTGCATTCATTTTCCCAACCGCAAAATGGTTCACACTGTACAAACCAATTTTTCTTCCTACTGAAAATCCGACCAAATACCAAAGAGAAACAAACAAACATATATGTAAGTATATCAAGGAAGTTATGAATTTATTATTATTTTTTTTGTGATTTTTTCTCATTTCTTTTTTTTTTTTCAAAAAAAAATTAAATATTTAAAGTTAAATTGCAAAAAATTTTTTTTTTTTTGATAAATAATGCATAAAAATGGTAAACTTCTTTTTTGTATATATGTATGTAGGTATTGCTTACATGCAAGCTCATACGCTAAACAATTTCACGTTTAAAATTATAGGCGTTTCTACATGTTTTGAATGTTTTTTCTTTACAATTAACTACAACATAATTACGTTTTTCTTTTTGTATTTCTTTTTTACAAATATATTTTTTTTTTACTTTCTTCTTTAACTCAATTCACATATACATATATGTATTTTCTACATTTACCAAGGCAATATGTTGCATATACATACAAACAATGCATTGTATTGCATTGTTCTGTTTGATTTTAGGGAAGTGTTCAATGTCGAAAAAAAGCAAGAAAATAAATGTAAATGTGAACAAATTCTTGCAAACAGCAACAACACTTTAAAAGAGTATTCTTTATGATATTCAAAAAATAAAAAAATTAATTACAATAAATAAAAAAATGTGAGTATTCGAAGGTGTATTTACAACATGATGAAAAAAGTGCGAGATTAGCGAAAAATGGCAACATTGTATGAAAGTAAATGACAATTAAACATAAATAAATTCGAGAAGCTTTTCAATTGAATGCTAAAAATGTTTCGAAATTAATTAATAAAAAAAAAATAAAAAATTAAAGCTAAAAATAATTAAGAAAATATTATTATTCTCTTTGCATCAGTATTAAAGTTAAGAAAAAAAAACTGATTGACCATTTACAAAAAAAAAAAAAAAACTTAAAATAGTTATTAAAATAAATAAAGTAAAATAAAATAAACTACATTAAAAACTACTTTGTGATATTTGTTTTCCTACCACTTTTGTGAACATAATTATTGAAAGGTGTTAAAAAAAATTTAATTTAATTACAAATAAAAATCATATAAAACAATATTGTTGTACATATGCAAATGTATAAATGTTTAATTACACTTTCGTCTGTATATTTATATATTATTCCCTTATTATTTCGTTAAAATTAATTTTTAAGGCACTTTTTTCCATTTATTTACTTTCGACTAACATTTAAAATTTTATTTCGAAAAATGACGTACACATACATACACACACATTAAATATTTCTTTGGACATGCAACGGAAATTGTGTGTATGTGTTTTTATAAATTTTTATTGTACATAAGTATGTATGTATATATATGTATAGTTAGTTATTTTGTGTATATACATATGTAACTGCGTTGAATGCACAGACAGATTATGCCAAATGACAAAAACAACACAAAGCAAAAGTACGCATTTCCGGGCACAGGACCCCTTAAGGATACGTGAAAGTACAAAAAAAAATTCGATTTGTAAAAATTTGCTACCAGCACATTGGCAATAATTCTTATATACATATTCGTATATATATATATATTTTTTTTTTTTAAATAAAATTTTGCAAAATGGCAGTAGCAAATTTCTACAAATAAAAACTTGCATTTTCCACATTTTTCTACAAACATTTATATTTTTTGTTTTTCTCGTTTGTATTTTTTTAGTGGTTTTTAATTTTCTTGAAGGCAAAATGTGCTGCGTTCGCTATTAAAATTGTGACTCTCCATGGTTTGTGACGGTCTCTAATCGCCTCATCTGCCTTTTCAGCGACTATTCCTTATATGTATGTACATATGTATGCATAAACATATTTAGATTTACTCATTTGCGCTCAATAGGTGTTTGTTAATTTTATTTTAATTTTAACTTTTAATTTTTTTTTTAATTTTTTTTTTTAATCTTCCACTGACTAGCATTTCACGTTTTATTTTTATTTTTTTCTCCATTGCTAAATTTAAACTTAACTGAAACTTCATTTCTTAAGCTGTTCCACAAGTTTTTCTTCGTTTGTTTTTTTTTTCTATTGTTAAATTTAAATTTAACTGAAATGTTATTTTTTAAAAATTTTGAAAATTGTTTTTGTTCAATGATTTTTTTCTTTACTTTGCTGTGCTTTTTAGAATTTTACCAAAAAAAGTTTTTTTTAAATTATTTTTTTAATTCATTCCCCTAGGTTAGCGCATATTTGCAACTCGTGCTCATTTGTTTTTTTTTTTTTTGGTTTTTCATATTTTCAGACCCCAGCCGACCTACACATTACTTAAATAAATTGCGTTGAAGCTGCACCGCTTGCTTGAGATTTTTTTCTTTTCTCTTTTCTCTTTTCTCGCTCAAATATCATTGCGATTAATCGGTGTGCCCATTTTCCTTTCACAAGGATCATACAAGTATATGCTGGGCACCCAGAGCGCCGAGGGCGCTGCCGTTGTCTTATCCATTCTATCCGCATCGCTTTTACGCATTAACTCCTTACCGCCGTTTTCGTTGTTGTCACCGCAGCTGCAGTCGTTTTGTTTTGGCTGTGCGACGAGTACCACTTTATGCGGCTTCGTGACATCGACATCACACACGACCGCCGCTTCGTGGTTGCAGTGGAAGTAACGATTCGTCAAATAGCCATCAACATAGATCTGTGTGGAAGAAATTGGCTTGAATTAGTTATATAAAATATACTCGCATACCTAAGTGTCTGATACGCATACCTCATAGCCACCAATGCCGCAACAGTCGTGGATTACCCACTTAACGTACAGTGAAGACGTGCCCAAATCGGATACTTCTGTTATGGTGACTGGGAAACTTTGACGCGGACAGACTTTGGCTCGAGTTGGAGTTGTGTTCTGGAATTAGAAAATGATTTTTGGCATAACAAAATTAAGCAAACGAGGTGTGCTCAAAAACTGAATAAGAATCACCAGCTTGGTGAGTCCGTTTGTCAAACATTTATTTTCCTTCATCATACTCGCTTCTGAAGTATGATAAGTGGGCGTTCATAAACAACGAAACTTGGTACAGAGGTGGCGAGAATTAGCTTAAATGTTACGTCATAGCCAGGTAACCGGGCGAGGAGGTGTAAAAAGCGCTTTGCAATCGCTGAAGTCTTCTTCGGTCGAGCTCAGCCTCCAATAGGATTTTTATAAGAACCTTTGATTTTCATGTAAGGATATTCATTGTTGATTTTGCCTATGGCAGCCACTAAGCTGACGTCTTAGATGGGCGATTTTCCTTTGAACCGTTCTCATTGCAAAGCAAAGAAGTCTGGGTTGCCAGCTTGACGAAAAAGAGAAAAAAATCCTCCGGCCGTGAGAGTCTCAGTACTCTAACTCCAGATTGATTTGTAAAGTCATTTCATGAGTGTTCTATGAATAAGGCCAGAGAATGGTATAAGCGTTTCCAAGAAGATCTTGAAGACGTTGAAGATGACGAACGCAATGGCTGTCTGCATACTTCAACAACCGCAGAACGCGCGGAACTATCACCGAATCACAATTAGAGGGTATACCGAAAGGCATTAAAAGCGCATTGCCGAAAGAAGTGAAAGTTGTCCCAAAGACTGAGTTTAAGAAGTATTCTTGGGAATTGAAAGAAGCGCTGGCACAATTGTATAATATTCTAGATCCCATTTTAAAGGCGATAACATCAACGTAGACGAGTGAGTAAATATTTTGTTTAAAAACTGAAAATTCTTGTTATTTTTTGAACACATCTTGTATGTTATGGCACTAAAGATAACTCAAGATGACGTCTGGTACTTACTTGTTCGCAGCTTTTCTTACGTCTCGCCTGCTCCATTGCGTCCAAGTCCATTATTATAGAATCTATAAAGAATCTCTGAAAAAAAATATTTGTGGACATTATTTCACAAGTCCCAAAGAACGTTTACAGATGCAAGATTTAGTTCTGGTCTATAATCATTTAGATTTCACGTGGAACTTTCTTGCTATTTATTTATTTTCTCACTCTTTCTCTACTGTTCGTGACTACAGTCACCGACCGCTGAAGTGATTTTTGGCCCAGTTCCTCTTCCGATTTGTGTATTTTGGAGGGATCTACAGTTCACTTTAAGCGGCCTCCGAACGGCCGATGGAGTTTTATGAAGAAAGGCAATCGGAGAGGGGCGACCGCAACAAAAAAAAATTAATTTGGGACGTTGGTTGAACCAGAACTCCAAACCTGGCCTTCCGAATGTTAGAAGGCAATGCGAATTACTCGGCCTTTGCGGGCGCCACTGCTTTTAAACAAGCCAAAGAGCTTTCAAGCCTCCTTTTTCTGTTCCTTAAACTCAGTTCTTGATCTTGCATATGTAAACGTGGTTTTATTATATTATTACACTTTGAAGAGTGTATGAAAGTATGCAGGAATGTATACTCACCAGCTCACTGCAGCTACTCTGGTCCTTCGCCTGATCTTGCGTTGCAACGGTGAGGCAATTTTGTTTATCCCGCATCGCTTGACAGTGACAACAGCTGCACTCGGTGCAATCGCTCCTTTTCGTTTGGTTAGTACGCTGGCTTGCCGTTGCCGAGGGGGCGTTCGAAATGTGTGCTTGCGTTTGGCTTGGTTCGGTGACTATACCAGTATCTTCGGCTTCGATGCAATCGCACTCCTCCTCATCAGCCGCCTGCGAACTCTGGAGCGGTATAGGTGTGTGACCGAATACATTTGTGGGCTGATAAAAACCATGCAACGGACACACACAAGGCTGATTGCATGTACACTCCTCGGCGCAACCTTTGCCACAAGCCATCGCGCCAATATTAAATGTGCCGGGCACTCTGTAACGTTCGCTCTCATCGCACGCCTGACTAGAGGGTTCGGTGTGGTTTTTCGGATCAGCAGCTAAGGCGAGTGTTGCAATCTCCTCAATTAATTCCAGATCGCCAATGCAACTGCAAGGCGTAACTTTTGAACCGCTGCACACACTGTCCGCGAATTTTTCCATCAACTGCGCTCGCTTGCCCGGCTTTGAGGTGCACTCAGGTGCTGCTGTTATCTGCATCTTTTGTGCCGAATGAGTGGTTGGATTCGTGAGTGGGGCGCAGGTCAACAGGTTTGGTGTAATAATCAGATTGCAAGGTAGTTGCAACGGTATATTAACCGGTTGACAAGGCGGCTGTGATTCCGACGATTCGGAGTGTGCATTCGACGCATTTGGGCTGGTGCGTTTGCGACTGGGTGTAAATGTTATTTTAAACCCCGTATTGAATGGTCCATTATCGGCCATCAACTCGTCGGAACCATGCGCGGCAATATTACGCATCTTTGTTGTTGCCACGCCACAACCACAACCGGTGACGCTCTCGTCCGACTGGTTGATTAACTGAACCACTTCGCGTAGCAACTGTAGTATGGCTACATTACGCGGTGGATTGGCGTTGGATTTGGGTTTGCTCTCTTGAATTGCAGAAGCACATTCGCAGTCCAAAAAGGTACCCTTGGGTTTGCTATCTGTTTTTCCTTTACCTGAGACAGTGGGCATACAGTCGTCCCGATCCGAAGAGGCTGAACTAAGTGAGTAGAACTCTTCATCGCTCATGGTGTTTTTACCACAATAACTCGTAGATGTCATGCCGCTGGGCAAACGTATTTCATAGGATGGTCTAGCGGGCGGATGTGCTGAGGATACGGAGAACTCGAACGGGCAATGACAGCCCAATTGACCGCCCGACTCGGATGACGAACGCATACAATAAGCTTTGCCAAATAAACCGGCTGCTGTCAGCGTGGAGGCTTGAGAATTTTGAGAATCTTGTGGACTGGACTTACTGTTTGCTGACGTTTGTTCGAGCGGTGCTTGGTTCAAGCATGCGGCAAGTTTTTGCAGCTGCTGCTGTTGTTCTTGGAATAGCAGTAGCTGCTGTTGCTGTTGCTGTTGGAGAAGGGTATTCTGTTGCTGGTGAGTTTGTTGATGGGTCTGAAGCTGTTGCAGCTGCTGAGTTTGTTGCGAATGTTGCAGATGTTGTACCGGATGGTGGTTGCCCCTGTGTTGGTCATGGGACTTCTGCTGTTGTTGTAAGGTGCGCTGACAGGAACATTGCACGGGTGTTAACGATGGAGGCTCTCCTGCGACTACTTGCGCCTGGTGTTGGTGACTGACGGTGGAGACGGGCGTCTCCATGATGACGCGATAGTTGGATGGATAGTTTATGCAGGACATGGCTGCGTTCTCTGCTTGGGGTTCTATACTTAAACGGATGGTTTGGGCGCCGTTTAGATGCGCGTTATCTCGGTGAGTATCAGTTTGGGAGCACTTCTCTGCTGTGCCTAAAAGAGGAGAAGACGAACAAAAGACAAATCGCCAAAAAACGCAAATTAGATAACAGAAAATATTTTTACAGAATCTACAAATTATTTCAATAATTTTGAATTTAAATTTTATACGTGCTTCTGTGTCAAAAAGAAAAAAATAAAACAGACATAAAGTAGTTGTGGGGAAAACCAATTGAAGAGCCGAATTTTTTACAAAACTCTCCAAAAATGAAGAAACGCATGTCGGTAAATAACGGTTACAGATGACCCACCGTTAAGTTGAACTGAGTTGAAGCGTCTGCTGCTACCAGCGTACTTAGGCCAGTAGAACCATTGTGATTCCGCTGTGAAGCTCCTGTCTTCTGAAGCCAGCCAGCGTGACTGTCGAAGAAGTGTTTCCCGAAGAACTTGTGTAGCGCAGATTTCAAGGCTAGACAGGGACAGAGGTAGTGCTTAACAGACGTTTTCTTTTCTTCGTGGTAGCCCATTCTTTTCCCAGTGAAGCGCTGCACTGGTCTGGTAGTATCATGCTTACATCTATTGAGAGCATCGGAGAGTGAGTTCCACATCTCTCTCTTCCGACGAGTTATGAGCCGTCTGTAAAGATGGCTACACCTTCCTGATCGTACCCGTTGGTATTTTTCCGCAAATTAAATAGCGATAACTAATCCTGGAATTGTAGTTGAAAAAAAAAGCGGGAAAAGACTTTTGTGGAGTTCCAACGCAGTTGTCTAAAGTCTTTGATATCTACAAGATTTCTACTTCGAAGACTTATGGACAAATAAGACATTTGAATTTCAATTTCCAAAATAAAATTTCATCATTTTTATTTCAAACTTAATCTTATTAACGGTAAGATTTCTTTTTTGTTAACTTCCAGTTGCTCATACACATACATACACATTTTTTAATATTGGTAACTTTTGCTCACTGCACCACATGATCCATCAGTTGGTAGTACTCGCGCGTTTGTATTCAGCAACATCTTCCAAATTAACGGGTTCGCCACGTACGCGCTCCTTGAGCTTATCATCGGGGCTCCACATCTCTTCACCGGTCATTTCCAAATACTTTGCCTCCGCTCTTTCGCGACAGGGGCAACAATCGAAGTAGGAGGTATTACTGCACTTAGCGCGTGACGTGTAATCAGCAAAAATGGAGCCTTTCATGCGACATTTACAAACCTTGATCTTTTCGTGTTTGATTTGATCTATTTGACTGTCGGTGGCGCGTTTTCGCCAAGGACAAAGACAACAGCCACACTCGCGTGGACAGAATACATTGCCATCTTCGTCGATCAGTGGACTGGGATCGTAGTGACATGGCGAGCAGATGTGTATGTCTTTGTGCTGTGGTAAGGCTTTGTATATGCGTCGCTCTGGTACTTTTTCCTCTGGCACAGCTACTATGTCTGTTGGTGTGACTTCAGGTAGTATGAGACAAGTGCCGCAGGTACGATCTATTATTGGCGGCATTGCTGGTAAACAAGTTCCACAGGTGCGTATATTGCTGGGCTTGGGTGGCGAGGTTAAACAAGATCCACATGTTTTGCTCCTGCTCGATGGCGCAACGGGCGCAATGAAATTACAAGCACCGCATGCTCCTGTTCCTGCCGCTGAATTTGGGCCGGCTGATGGGTTACATATTTTGCATGGCGCTCCCACGCTTGCACATTTACCGCACGGTTGGATGTCGGTTGGTATAGCTGGTGGCGTGCCTGGAAGGCGAGTTTTCTTGCATATGCCACAGATATCGCGTTCCTCCTGCACTGGCCCTCTCTTGCATATATTGCAAGGGCCTTTCACTTCTAACCGTTCTTGTCTAGCCGGTGTACAAATGCCACATGGTGCTTTCTGATTGTTCATTGGTGTTGGTGGGAGCACTGTTGCTGGCTGTAATCGTGAGCACACTCCACAGGGGCCTTTCACCTCTTCCATTTGTACATTGTCTTGCTCATCCACTTGCGTTGGCTCTGCTCCTCTTGAACAAATTCCACAAGGACCCTTTTCCTCCACAACGTAAGGAGTCATTCCGCGAGAACAAGTTCCACATGGCCCTATTTCGACATCCGCAGGAGCAGGTACGCCTTTTGAACAAATGCCGCAAGGGGCTTTTTCCGATATAATCGGTGCTTTTGATCGTTTGGCGCATATTCCACACGGACCCTTCTCGAGTTGAGTTTCTGCTCTTTTCGAACAAATTCCACATGGCGCTTTTTCCTCCGTTACGATAGCATCTAATTTTTTTGAACAAATTCCACATGGTGCTTTCTCCCCTCTGGCAGCTTCTTGATCCTTCGCTGAACATATTCCACATGGCGCTTTTTCGGCATCCATCGGTGCAGGCCTTCCTCCTGAGCAAATTCCACACTGGGATTTTACAGGTATTTCGGATCGCTTCGAACATAATGTACAAGTAGATTTCGTTGTTTGAGCTGGAGGACCTTCACATGGAGATCTTTCCAGCTGTTCCGGTTTTTCTACTACCTCATCTTTGAAGCATGTTGTAGACGAGCTCGGAAATACTTTTTCTGGCTTAGGTATTTCTGGGAGCATTGCTATTGGCTTTGAGCACACCCCACAAGGCCCATTCACCATCGATAGTGGCTCCTCTAATGGTGGTGGTACCGGAGGTGCAGTCGAACATTTACCGCAAGGTCCTCTTAAGTGACGTTTGCTCTCTTCTTGTTTAATTTGACTGACACTTTGTTCGGTGGGTTTGGCCTTTGTTAATCCTATATGACAAACAGTGCCTTGGAAGCCTCCGAATGGTTCTTGCCTTTGAGTGGCACCAACAGAACAGAGATTTGATGATACTTTTCCCATTACCATAGGCTTACTAATTACTGGAGGAACGAGCACGACCAGAGGCTCCGCTGTTCTATCACCTTGAGAGCAGTCGCCACCACAAGTGCCCTTTCGCTGGGATGCCGAAGGAAATTCGCGGGGTTGTGGCGGCACAAATTTCTCTCCTTTAGAGCATATTCCACAAGGCGGTTTCCAATCAATCTCGGCCGGCTTTCCTTGCGGCTCACCGCTACGCCCACACAGTACACACACCCCTTGACTCCTCGTTTCCGACGACATCTGTGGACCAACAGATGGTACAGACGACGTTGCTAATGTTGTCAAAAAGGGTCCCTTAGTAACAGGCGCCAAAGATGGTGATAGAAATGCTTCAACGGACGGCTCCGGCACTCTACGTCCCACTGAACAAGTTCCCGTACAATGTCCTTTCGATTTCGGCGTTGTAGTTGCCTCAATGGGATCACCTAAAGTCATTAGAGGAGTTGATTGTGGTACCTGAATTTGTACTTTCGACGATAATTCCTTACTGGTTGGGGGAATCGGAATTGCAAAACCTTCGGCAGGTTGCATTGGCGGGAAGTGTAGAAAACCCGGCGGAATTCCAGCCATTTGCTGAAGTAAAGCTGCATGAAAATTATACGCTGCTTCTGGTGGCATACCTAACACAGAGAATATTAATTAGTTTTATCTACATCTTTGTTTCTTATGGCCGCTTACAGGTCGCTTCCTGTCGTGGTGCCGTGATTATGGCCGTACGTATGGGCTCCATTGAAGAGAATATATTTGATAATTGCTCACGGTCGGGTTTCGTCTGTGACTTACGCACTTCATTCGACAGCTTCGAGACCGAGTTTGGTATATTGTGTTGGTGTTGTCCCCGTACGTGTAATTTCAGTGGTATCGTAAATGTAATCGGATCAATGCGAATATTCGACGGAGCCGAGGATTTATTCGGTGTCACTTTTGCTGTCACCTCCAGTTGCACAGTACGTGTTTGAGGTTTTATATTGCGCACATCACAACGACAACGCGAACCGCAGCCCCGACGCTCCTGACGGCCGATACTATCGAATTCAACGAGAAGCGTCTGAGCAGTGACTATAACTTGCTTTAGCGCATCGCGAAACATGCGAGAATCTTTAACCGGCGCCTGTGGCATATTTAGACCACACACGGAAGGAACAACAGGGTGGCTTTGTTGACTTATCGCAACATCGCTGTAGCAATCATAGAAGACGTCATACTCACTAGGAGTCTCCGTGAAGTTCGGCTCCACAAATAATATCTGCGTCGAATTTCCATTATTTGGCGGGACAGATTTTACCGGCTCACCGCTTGATTTACTCGAATTCACCGGAGATCGTTTCCCATCTTTATTCGCTGCAGCGTTTTTCGATCTATTCCCACACGTAGCCCGATTACATGGCTTCTTATCTATGTCCATTGCGCAAAGATTCGCCAATTTTTTAATTTTTTACAATTTTTTCTTTCTTATTACAGAGAATTTTGGTGAATGAAAATTCGATTTACATGTGACGAAAATTTAAATTAAAATCATTTCGGTTTGACATTTCTTTGAGTTATGCTTGAAGTAAGTCAAATAATTGGATTATGAAGTTCGAAATATTCACTCGTTCGATTTGTAAATAGTTCTAAGCAAAATGATAGTGCTGCCCAATGAAGAGTGGGAAATATTCAAGTAAATTCATATACAAATTCGGTAATCAATTTTTAAATAATATAATTTTGAAACTTAAAGCTTAGATCCGAAGTACAAAAATCATCATTTCAACTTTTTTCTCATCAGCTCAATAAATAACATATAGAAAATAAAATTAATATTTTTCTATTTTATTTCTATTTTTTATTTCGTTTTGCTTTATTTTATTTTTATCTCTTTACTTCAATTTTTACTGTATTTTAGTTAAGTTTATTTTAATTAAATTTTTTTTATTTTGTTTCAATTAAATTTGTTTTTGTCTTATTTCGTTCATTTTATTTCATTTTATTTATTTTATTTTATGTTATTTTATTTAATTTTCTTATTTTATTTTATTTCATTTCATTTCATTTCATTTCATTTCATTTCATTTTATTTTATTTTATTTTATTTTATTTTATTTTATTTCATTTTATTTTATTTTATTTTATTTTATTTTATTTTATTTTATGTAACTTAATTAAATTTATTTTAGTTAAGTTTAAATTAATTATATTTTTTTTATTTTTTTAATTTAAATTTGTTTTTGTTTTATTTCGCTTATTTTATTTCATTTAATTTATTTTAATTTATCTATTTTATTTTAATTTGTTTTATTTTATTTTATGTTATTTTGCTTTGTTTTATTTTTTTCATTTTATTTTATTTGGTTTGTTTTATTTTTTTTAATTTTATTTCTTTTTTTTCTTTTTTATTTCATTTTATTTTATTTTAGTTTATTTTTTTTAATATTTTTTCTTTTTTTTTTAATTTTAATTATTTATCTAATTTAATTTATTATTGTTTATGTAATTTTATTTTATTTCATTTCTCTTCATTTCATTTCATATTATTTTTTTGTATTATTTTATTTAATTTTATTCGTTTATATTTTTTTAATTTTATCGTATATGATTTTATTATCATTTACTTTTTGTTATTTAATTTTCTTTTTGGTTTAGCTTTTTTATTTTATTTATATTATTTTTTACATTTTTTTATTTTATCTTATTTTATATTATGTTTTTTGATTCTTTTTTCTTTTCTTTTATTTCATGATAATTTATTCAATTTTATTTTTTAACTTTTATGTTATTTTATTTTGTTTTTTTTTTTTGTTTTTTTAATTTTATTTTGTTTTATTTTTTTAATTTATTTTATTTTTTTAATTAATATTATGACAAAATATAAATTTTATTTTATTTTCATTTACTTTATATTATATCTTTTTTTTGGTTTAGCTTTTCTATTTTATGTATATTAATTTTTTACATTATTTTGTTTCATTTTCATTTCATTTCATTTAAAGTTTTTCTCATAATTTAGTTTAATTTAATTTAATTTCATTCTATTTTATTTTACATTTTTTAATTTTTTTGTTTTATTTTATTTGATGTTATTTTATTTAAATTTATTTATTGACTTTTATGTTAGTTTATTTGATTTTTTTCTATCCTATTTATTATTCTTGTTATTTTAGTTCTTATTTTGATTTTAATTTATTATAATTAATTTTTTCCATTTGCTTTTAATTTTATTGTATTTTATTTACTTCAATTTAAATTAATTTAATATTTGTTTGGATTATTTAATTCAATAATTTTTTCATTTTATAATTTATTTAATTATGTATTTATGGAAATTTTATTTTATATTTTTAATGTACATTATTTAATTTTTTCTTATATTTTATTTATATTTATGTCATTGTTTATATAACAAAGCAACAGCTTCTTCTTCTTCGAACTGTTTGAGAAAATTCAGTTAATTTTTTTTTGACCGTGTCAAGTTCAATCATTGAGTAAAAATCATTTCATTATTCGTTCATTTATATCGATTTATTTATTCAAGCTCTTCATCACAGAGCTTTTTTTTAGACATTGGCTATTTAAGTTAAAAGCATTTTCTGAAAAACACAGACTCCTACCACAGTCTCATCTCTTACATGTATACATACATACTTCTGAATATATTTTGAATTTATCTTGGAAATTTATATGTAAATCAAAGTGTACGCATTCAGATCCGCAGCCAAATCATATTGTTTTTGTCAAGAGGAAATCATATTCACTGGAAACATCCGAGCTCAGTGCCCGCTTCACCGGATAGTACACGGTGCAATAGAATTCCGATTCCATTCGTTTCGAATGGAAGTTCATGAGCTGTTCGTTAATTTGATCCTCGATTTTTTGCATAATCTAGGAGATCGCAAATAGAATTAATGCAACTCGTCGCAAACTAGGTGACTACATATGTATGTATGTGTCTAATATTGTGATTGTGTGTGTATATTGTGTAATGCGCATATTTGTGAACGTGATGGCAATACGCACCGGTACTTTGATCGGTTTGAAGAGTTCTTCGAGCACACGCAGACACGACATTGCATTCACGAAATGCTCATAATTCTCTGCAGATACTGTCTCGTTGTTGTTGGTGTCGAAAATTGAATAGGTTTGTAAGATATGCAAGCCATCACGAAATTCTTTGTCGGCCTCCCAACGTTTCAGCAGATTCTGATTGAACTCAGTCAACTCTGAAGTGCCCTGCCCGACGGAGGTTTTTAGCAAATTAATAAACATGCGTGTCTGCGAGGGCACACGATCGAGTATTCTCTCCGGATTCATATCATCGTTCACCTGCACACTGCTTTCCTTACTCTCCACACAAACGATATCCGTTTCCGTTTCTTTATCGAGCTTGTCGCAAACCGTTTCGGTGAATGCGTCCATTCTGTGTTGAGACTCGGTGGCATCTTCGCGCAGTGAATGAAAGCTATCGAAACGGTGTAGCACTTCGGATTTGCTTACGTCTATGTCAACGACATCGTGGAAACGTGGTGGCCGACGCGCATTGAAACACGACACAATACGACGCACTCGAGTTTGAAGTACGCGTCGCTTTAAACGTCGTTTCCGATTTCTTTGGAAGGTCGCTAGCGAAAGTCGTTTAATGGTTTCGGTCGTTTTAGTGGTCTCACATGTACCAGCCTCCGAAATCATGCGCAACTCGGAAGGCACCTCGCTTAATTGTTTCACACTAGTGGGGTTTTCTTTTTTCTTAGGGGACATAAACAGTGGCATGAGACATTCATCGATGAGGAATTGTGGCATAAGCGCCATTCCTATGGTGAAATTCTGACTGTTCGCGCGGTCATCACCACCTTCTCCTGCTGCTTTGGGTACCTCAATATCTTCAGCGTACACTTCATTTAGTTCTAACTCTGACCGCGCATTCTCAGAGTTTTCGGGTTTCTCTTTAGTAGTTTCTATAGTAATGCTTACCTCATCGTCGATTGAATCGCCATGTAGCAAGCTGTCCGCTAGACGTTTAACATCACGCGCCACACTCGAAAACTGCTGATGTGATGGCAGACTGGTCTCACATTCCTAGAAGAAGAAGAAGAAGAAGAAGAAACGAAGTTATACTTTAGTCCATGAGTGTTTTAAGTAAAAATTAGTTCACCTTAAAGTTACGCAGAGCATTGCCCAAACCCGTGCTGGCGGTTTTTAAATCTTTGACGTCCTCACGCTTGAACCGCTTCGATGGACTACCGCTAAGCTCCTGCGCCAAACTATAGCCTTCTGAACGTTCTAGTCGCTTTTCCAGCTTTTGCACCATCTCCTCCTTGCTCTTCACCTCGTCTTGCAGTACGCGTACCTTGTCCTCCAATTCCTTTTCGTTCTGCTGCAACTTTTCAATTTGCTGCTCTAGGGTTACCACTTCCTCCTTTAGCTCGCCATTGGTCACCTCAATGTGTAGGAACTCCTTTTTCAGTTCAAATAGTTGCCCTTGTAAGGATTCCATTTCAGCTAAATTTCTGGATTCTGTCTCTTGCTGTAGTTTACGCATAAAGTTCACCTCATCATTCAGCGTCTTATTGCGCTTCTTCTCCTGCTCGAGCTGGTCAAGTGTTGGCTTCTGTTGTGCTTTCAAGTTCTCCACTTGGCACTTCACGCGCTCGTATTCGCTCGTTATGCATTCGTGATCGTCTAATAAATCACGATGTTCCTTCGAAACGCGCACAAGACAGTTCTTCAAGTCCCGCTCAGCCTCTTCCAGCTGACAGATCTTTTCGTTGGCCGCACGTGCATCGTCACGCAGGCAGTCCTGCAGTTTTTGTATTTTCGATTTTAGGCAACACTCCTTGGCGCGATAGGCCTCTTCGCGATCCTTATATTGACGCTCCAGCTCCACCCAGTGTGTGTCGGCCGACTCCATGGCCTCGTAATGGCGCGAGTTCAAATCTTTAATCTGATTTCGCAGACACTTCACTTCCTCCTTCAGGTACTGGCACACACAATTGGACACCTCGGGAGTGTCATTGTTGTAGAATTGAGTTTCACAATTGAAATTCGCAATGGGCGATGCACGATCGAATTGATTGCCGGCAAATGCTGGCAGCACGTCATTCACCCGATCGGTGACTATTGGCACGACGTTGCCCATTTTGTTGCCGAAGTTGTCGCACAATTCGATCTCGTACGTTTGGTTGGGTGTTTCTGGGCGATTTGAGCGCTCGTTGATGTTGTTGTTGTTGATGTGGATATTGTTGGAGTTTGTCCAATTCGTGAACGCCACTGTGGTGTGATAAGTTAACAGTAGTGGCAACAAGTTGTGTAGTATTTCAAGATTTTCTTTGGCTTTCTGCTTATCTTCTTCGAGGTGGCGAATTTGAGTTTCGGTAGCGGCTAGATCGTCTCGTAAAATCAAACACTCTGAGCGACAGTCTTTATACTTGGCACTCAGTGCCTCTCTGGACATTTCAAGTTCAACGTTCCGTTGACTTAAAATCTCCAGCTCCACTTCAAGGCGTTGCAGACGTAGGCGCGTATCGTTTTCAGCCTCTTCAAATTCACACTTCTCCTCCTCGAGTTGCAGATTTTCACCTTCCAAAAATTCAACGCGATCACGCAGCTCCTTCAATTCCTTCTCCAATAGTATCTCACGCTGCAAGCGGTCAGCCAAACGTTTATGCTGCAAATCACCAGAGCTCTCGTATATAAGCACCTTGCTCTCGAGCAGTGCGAGACGTTCTTTGTAATACTGCAATCGCTTTTGATCGCTTAAATTAGGCGAATGTGGAGCAGCGTTTGGCAATGTGTGGGCAGGTACTTTGTTGATGTCGGTTTTGCGATTACTATCGTTGCAATGGAGTTTCTGAAGCTCCTCGCAGACGCCACGGGCAGCGTTTGATACGCTCTCGTCCTCGAAGTCTGTCTGTGTGCAGACGTTGTTCTCACTAATGTCGCTCAAGAAATCCGACTCGACGAACACGCCACTCTCACTAAGGCTGTTACTTTGCCAGGCGTTACGAGACTTACGTGGCGAATCAGTCGGTGTGTTTGTCGGCACTATCTGATTGCTGCTGCAGTTGTTGTTGTACGCAGCTTGATGCTGCGGTGAGCTATTATAGGGCGAAACTGTGGCGACAATACGAGCTGCGTTCGGTAGCGCTGTGGCAGGTACGACTGACTTGGCGATCGATTTGATGCACGAATTGGTGTGGCTGCCGCTGCTTGCTTCGTATGTAGAGCGAGCACTGGACGGCGACGATGCTGAGCTGTAGTCCGATATACGCGATTTTACCTTTAATTTGTAGTTGTGGTATTCGTGGGGGAAATGAAGTAAAAAGTTCGTTTTTTATTTAGCATTAAATACACGTAATTTAAATGTGGGAGAACTGATATTTTTATATTATTTTTCTAAAAGCAAAATGATTGAAATATTATTGTGAGTGAGTTGAGTTGAGTTGACAAATTTCTCAAAGACAAACTCCGAATTTTGCTATGAAAATAAATCTATGCAACATACAAAATAACTGAGTAGCTGCGTACTGGAATTCGACTAAACGGAGAAGGACTCAAGCAGGGCCGAGAGAAGTGCAGCCAGCGGCAGACTTACCATTTCCAAACTGTTCGCATCGTCGCTGGAGCACGATGTGGTATTCAACGAATTCGGTTCACTGCGCTGCGTCAACAAATCCAAGTGTTGCACCAATTGTATCAGCTGTTGCAGACAGTTCTTGTCGTCACTGTCAAGCGTTGTCTTCGTCAACATTTGCGTTATCCGTTGGCGTAGCTCTTCATTGGCGGGATCGTTTAACTGGCATGCGTATGAGGAAAATATGAATAATTAAAAAACAGTGTTTTTTATTTCTTTATTTATTCCTTTTTCGTGCTTACATTCACTTCATCATCTTCGAGCTGCTGACTAGTGCGCGCTGTGGCGTCAGAGCTGTCGTCTACACCACCACTACCACGTTTGCCGAAGATCATCTGCATCGGGTCCTCTCGTCCCGCCCAAATATTCTTTGTTGCGCATAGTGTGTCCGCTTGTGATGTGTTTGCTGCGGTTGGGAGGGCGCCATGGTTCTGATGCGACCACTGGAAATTGAAATAAATAAATTAAATCCAGTTAAAACTAATCGCAGTCAATAATCTTATGAAATTTGTATGGAATAAATGATAGAACTGAAAAAACCGTTAGTTAAGACCACTCAATATGGTCTATAAGGGCTTATCATTTTCTAGCCGATGGATGTTTAGATCTTATAAGTGTGGCTTTGAACCTAGAAAAGCTACAATTCACTAGATATTCCTGAGAAAATAATTATTGATTTTAAAGTTGCCTCTACGCCGCTTTGTCAGAGTTTGGTATTCCTATAAAAATGTGTAAAATCACAGTGTTGCCGAGAAGTGCAGTCAGAATTGGAAGGGACCTCTCCGATCATGGACATGAGTGCGATGCCGAACGAGGTTTCAGACAAGTTGATTTCTTTAATTTATTGCTCGAGAAAGTAATACGAGCTGAGTAGAGAGGATACCATCTTCTATAAGAGCAAAACTGAAAGCGTACGCGATGTGCTTCAACAACTGCGCCGTGAGTTTTGCTTTCTCCACACTAGATAAGAAAGTGTAAAGTATGAGTTTGGTAGTGAAAGAGAACAAGACGAAATAACTCCTGTCATCAAATAACCAGCCAACGCATTCGCAACTCGCCTTACCATGTGGACAGTAATAGCTCTAAAGTCGTTGATAGCTTCGTCAGAGTCGCTTTTGCCAACAGGTCCTACTTTGGACTGAGTAGGCAATTGAAAAGTAGAGTCGTCTCGCCACGAACAAAAAACCAAAGTCTCAAAGCGTTCATTCTTTCCATTCTGCTATATTCAGCGGAGGCATGGACGATGACAATATTTGATAAGTCAATGCTATATGTTTAAAATACAACGGTTCTTTGCAAGGTTTATGCTCCTCTCAGTTTTGCCAACGAGGAATACCGCAGCCAACGAAGTGATGGGCAATCAACATATGCAACGAATCGTGGGTGTACAGTTTGAAGTATTGGTTTGCTGTTTTTTTTTTCTTTTTTTTTTTGAAATAGGTGTTTTCAACCTTTGTCCCCTGTTGATTACAGATCGATATATTATGTGATCGATCTATTGTCCCCCACATTCCCTGTTTTTCTAGCGTTCATTATCAGCAACCAGACCGACCCTATATTCCCGAGGATAGTTTTACTATTACCTCCTAATCTGACCTCTTTGAATAAGAACTTTGTAAGATTTGTCTCATATGTGTTGCACATAATTTTCGCTATTTGACATTCCCGTTTACGTGTCCAAAGTATATTACCTTGACGATAGGGGAGTGTTTCTTATTGAAGAGTTCAGTTCTTAAAGAGCAATTGGCAACTCCGTCCTCTACTGAAGAGTCCATTGAACGATTAGTTCTCTACCTTGACTACCTTTATGTTCTAGTTTCAGCCAGCCAGCTTTTTGATTGCCACTTGAAATCGTTAGGAACCATTTTTTAGTCACCCGTCGTCTGACCTACCCCAACCTTTTCACTTGAAATAAAAGCTCCACATAAAATTCCATCAGCCATGCGGAGATGGCTTAGATAAAAAGTCTTCCAATAGTTACAAATTACCTATTATATATGCACATACATATATACTGCATATAAAACAAGCAATTAACGTTTTTATCGGTATATCAACAAATTAGATAACAAATGCTGTGCGCGTCACAAAAAAAAAAGAAAAAACAAGAAAGAGTGTTGACAACTGGGAATGTGATTTTATTTGCTTCACCGCGGAGACTTTGTACAAAAACATTTAACTTACATACATTAAAAAAAATTTTTTTTAAATACCAAAGGAAAAATCTTAAATGAGGCTGAGTAAGCAGAAAAGCAAGTGTTATTAATGCGCATCCACAATAAATGCATGTGTGTATATATATACGAATATGTACGTTTGCATGTGCACATTCGGCAACAAGCAATTACAAGCCGCAGTAGCAATCAACCGCCAACCACCAACTACCAACCACCGACCACCACCACTCAGCCTGAGCAATGGAACCGCGTAGTTAATAGCATCGCTTATTTGGCAATAATATAATTGTTGCCTTGCTAAGCTATGTACGTATACATGTATATGTGTGTGTGTGTGTGGGTAAAATTTCATTGCATTTCAGGCTTGCCAACGCGCACTAACCGACTCTCTATCTGTTGCAACAACAAGCCAAGTACTTAAGCGCTGCGTGCTAATGCTTCACCATTCGCTGATTGCACTGCTCCTCAACGTTTCAACGTTTCACCGTTGATTTTGATTTTATTTCATTTTATTTTAGTTTATTTATTATTATTAGTGTCGATTTGCACAATTAAAACGCGCTCAGGTGCACAGCCACAGCAAATACATGTACAATACATACATTTTTTTTTTGTATTTTTTAATTTTCATTTTTGTAACATTTTATTTATTCATATATACTAGTAGTATGTACATATTTAATTACATACATATATAATATTTCATATGATTGAACTTCTGCTAATTCGCATGCTTGGCAAGGTTGCTGCGGCACTTCGTTGGCGCGATGCCTCGCCGCTTGGGTGTACGGTTAGTCGGTCGGTTGGCGGTTTAATTGATTTTCAAGTCGAATGATTTTTAAGGTTTCCAAATGCTAATAATCGCTTACGGTATAATTTTCTAGTGGTAGCAGTTGTTTTTTTTCCACTTGCTAAGCTCTGAAAATAGCGGTTAATAGTTTGGCGCAAAAGATGCAGTGCTGCGTACATATACAATACATCCATACAGCTTGCGAAGAGAAATGAAATGAATACATTGGAGTACGAGTACTTCGGCCGAATGTATATAAAATTCATATTTTGAGTTTATCAGTAACAAGCTTATATGAGGAAGATGGAAAGTTTATAAATGTGTAATCTCAAACTTATTGTATTTGTCTGAAAAATTTAAGCCGTATGCATACACATGTTGTGGCACATTTTTACCGCCTGAGTTATCTCAAGAACTTAAAAAAAAAATACTTTCAAGAGTTCATTAGCTTTACTAAACTAATAATTATTAACGCCTTTGCCAATTAGCATTCGCTCACGTGTGTAAAAGTAAATTTTCGAAAATATTTAAATTTGCACAGTCAGCATTCTTGTGCTAAATAGCGTTATTAGCTACTGTTTTTGCATACAAAATGAGTTTTTGTTTTATTTGACACATTCACACAACGGCACTAATAATGTGTCTTTCATACATATGTACATTTGTATACATAAATTAAAATTTTAAGAAATATTATTAGAATATTTTCGCTGAAAATTTATTAGGGCAAGCAGCAATTCGATCTTTATTATTTCTATAATTATATGGAATTTTAAAATAATCTGAAGTTTTTGTGAAAACAAATATATATTTAAATATATTGGATTTTAATTAATTTAACTTAATTCAATTCAATTTTATTCAGTTAAGATAAGTTAGTTTATTTAATTGAATCTAAAAACATTTAATTCAATTTAGGGGAATGTTTTGGTTTTATTTGTTGTATTTTTCAATATTCTAATAATTTATCACATTCTAACTTGATTTATTTATTTTTATATATTTTTTTTTAGTTCACTTCCTCTTGTTAAATTTTTTTCATAAAATTGTAGTTAATAAATTGAATTCAATATAACATTAATTAATTGAGTGAACATCAATTGCTCTTATTTTATTCTACTTTATTTAGTTTTATTAAATTTTATTTTCTTCTATTTAATTTAATTTATTTTGCTTTGTTTATTTTTATTTATTTTTAATTTTTCATTTTAGTTTTCTTAAATAATTTCAATTTACTTAATTTTAATTTTTGTTTTCTTTATTTTATTTGCCTTGATTTATTTCATTTTATTTTATGGTCAAACAAAAAGATTTTATTTAAGTTTATTTTTGTTTTAATATTTATTGTAGTTTATTTTATTTTCTTCACGTTGTTCTTTACTTTAATTTACTTCAGTTAATTAAATTTGTTTTGTATTACATTATTTTCCAAAAATATATGTTAATAAATTAAATTCTACATAATTAAAATTAATTTAAGTTAAGTTCACTTATTTTACTTTTTTTTAAATGTTATTTTGCTTTTTTTAATTTCATTTATTTTAATTTTTCATTTTAGTTTTCTTAAATTGTTTCAATTTACTTAATTTTAATTTTCTTAATTTAATTTACTTTGATTTGTTTCATTTTATTTATTTTATTTTATGGTCAAACAAAATGATTTATTTAACTTAATTTTATTACATTTTAATTTCTTTTTGTCTTATCTTTTATTTGAGTTAATTTTGTTTTCTTCATTTTTTCTTTTTTAATTTTGATTAAATTTATTTGATTTTATTTTATCTTACTTCGCTTTACTTTAATTTACTTTTTTTACTTAAATTTGTTTTGTATTACAATATTTTCTAAAATAGACGTTAACGAATTAAATTCAAAATAATTTAAAATAATTTAAATTAAGTTTCCTCTTATTTTATTTTACTTTATATAATTTATTTTGTACTACTTAATTTTATTTATTTTATTTTTTTAATTAATTAATTATTATTATTAATTTTTTAATTGTTAATTTCATTTATTTTATTTTATGATATTTTAATTGGTTTTATTTAATTTAATTTTTTTATTATTGTTATATTTTTATTTTAGCTTACTTTACTTTCCCCATCTTGTTTTATTTTATTTTAATTATTTTTTTTTTCATTTACTATATTTTTTTTAAGATTCTTTTGCTTTATTAAATTTTATTTTAATTAAATTTGTTTTGTTTTATATTACTTTATTTATCTTTTAATTTTATTTTACCTTACCTTGAATAAGTTTATTTAATTTCTTTAAATTTATATAATTTTAAGTTATATTAATTAATTTTTTTTTTTAATTTTTCCTTTAATTTTTTTGATTACTTTTAGTATTTGAATTTTTTATATTTTTTTTCAACTTAATTGTTTTATTTGAGTAATAATTATCTAAAAAATTCTGCTGAATTTTTAAGTAAATATATATTTCTGATAAGCAGTTATTCACTTATCAGTGACTGAATAAATAGCCGCAAGCTTTCTACCCAAATAATGTACAAAGTGAAGAAGTATTTCATATGAATAGTAAATATTTATATTTGCAAGAGTTTCACTTTTCTTGTGAAAATACAAGTTTCCATATTTAATGGCAAATTATTATGTTAAGTGGTAATTAAATGCACAAATAAAAAGCATTAAAATTGTATTAATGTAAAATATTAAGATGAATTGAAATTATGAAAGCACTTATTCAAATTAATTTTCACATATCAAGTGGCGTTTGGTAAGAAAAGTATTGAAAGAAAACATATTTGGAAGTTGACATACACTTTTTGTGCTTTTAAGGTTGATTGAAAAAAAAATTTAAATTATATTTTAAGAATAAAAAACATTTGTTGGCTTATTAACCTTCAAGTAAATTTGAATTGGTGTTCTGAAGGCTAATTATGAGTAAACTCTCTCAACTAGGCACGCCCACATTTAAAGTTGTGAGTTTATGGCAATTACACACTTCTACATTTTAATCCGTCATTTATATTTATATAATTTTGATATACTACGTCAGAACCAATTGAACTTGAAACTGATTTCATGCTGCCACTACTATATATATAAATATATATTTATTTGTATATTTCCTGTGATGAATTATATAAAAACTGATTAAGCTAAAAATCTAATTTAACTTTTTACTACCAATACTGGCACTCACTACCACACACTACACCCAAGGACTGCTCCGTTTGCATGAAATCGCCTGACAAATCATTCAACCCACATTCCGGCATTCGAAAAGTGCAATGAAAACTAAAAACTTGAAATGCAATAAAAACGATTTGCAATGAAGCTAATAATTCATAAACTGCAACTCACTATCAGTTGCTCTGACAGCTCTGAATATGTCCAAGAACAAAATTATTATTAAATTATAAAAGAAAAAAAAATAAAAGAAAAAATAAGCTAGAAACATTAATAAACTATTTAATTATCTAATTTTTTATTGCAAGTCAAAATAGTTCAACTCTTAATCAGTTCAGTCGCATTTTAATAACTTGCCGATTAAATTACCATAATTAGCTACGCTAAAGTATATTTGCATATATGTATTACCCTAAAATTCATCAATGGCGACTTGCGGCTACTGAGTACTTTGTATATATTGTACATAAATATATACGTACCGACAAAGGCTAAATGGTGAATAGACGTTGAAAGCGCTTATTGTTCTGTTAGTCACTTATTCAATCAGCCAAACAAAAGAATTGTGGAAAGGTGAAACCATAAACTAATGAGCCACAAATAAGCAAAATATCAGTAGCATATAGATTAACTACGATAGTTAGTTGAACAATATTTAAATATTTATTTAATTTAATTTTTTTATTCTGTTTTGTTTAATTTAATTTAATTTTTTATTTTTTTTATTTGATTTTGTTTCATTTTATATATTATTTTATTTTATTTTATTTCATTTCATTTCATTTTATTTTATTTTATTTTATTTTATTTTATTTTTCCTTATTTTATTTTATTTTTTTTTATTTTAAATTAAGTTCTTTTAGTAACTTTTAGTACCTTTCAGCCGAAATTCCTATCAGTTAACTGGAGCCCACTGTGGCTCATTCTTATTGTAATAAATACAACGTCTTATATTTGTCTTTATAATTTTTACTATCTATATTTATTCATATGTAACAACTTTATTTATGGGGATATCGGAAAACATACTTGTAAAGAAAAAAAATAATAATTATCAATACTTTGTACTATATATAATATTTATTATGTATTTCTTGTTATATCCGTTTTCTATTGGCCGATTTTCTATTTATGCCATATGTTTGTTTTTGGTTTGTTTCATTTTTGCGAAAGCCGTCGGTTTCCATTGATGTGTGGGCGTATGTCCGTGTGTTAGATTAGCGAATTATGGGTTCACCTGTGTCTTGTGGTGTAAAAGTTACACTTTTAAAACCGTAACCATTTGTGGCGCCAAACGCGTATATGTATTACATTACAAGTATAGATAAATCCATAAATACCTATTATCTGACATTTATATAACATGAAAGTGCTTTTAGCTCAGATTTGTTTATACCAACGGGCAAACCACGCTCTGCTTGATTTGACATTGATCTGAATAAATGCTGCCCATATAAGAATTTGTTTACGAATTCACATGTCAAATGACAGTGAAAGCACAGTTAAGATTAGAAAGCCTAGAAAGTGCAAAAAGTAAATGTGTGTTTCGCAAATTTTGAATACATATCAATTCTAATATCAGCTTACTACTTACTTAAATTCATATATAGTAAAGTAGGAAAAGTTTATTCCGGTTTTACCTAATATTTAAATAAAAAATAAAATATTTTTTCAGTGGACTAGTATGTAAGTACCAGCAGGAGGATTAAAGTTTATACCGATATCTTTCGAATGACGAGCAGAGTAGCCCTGAACTCTCAGTTTTTGGGATATTTCAAACAGTTGCTGTGTTGCATTTAAACGATCATTTGTCGAAAATGGCCCGTTGGGAACACTCTGGCATGAATATGAGCGATTTTTCAAATTTGAGATTTTGGGCTATGAAGCCGTGAAAAAAGATGATGTTTGGCATATCTATTCGTAACTACAAATAAACATTGCCACCAAAATCATGAAAATCGAAGGATTGCATTATATGGCCCATATATATCCCATTTATTCAGATATGACTTTATATGTGAAAAATCTCTCAAAAAACATCTAACAGCGCACGTGTATATAAATAAATATTGACACTGAAATTCATCGAAATCGATTTTTGCATTTGGTTATAAATTTCACATTTTCATGAGTGAATGTTTGTAAAGGTAAAGCATAAGGTTTTTTTTATTTAAGTTATTTTATTTTATTTATTTTTGTTTTTTATTATTTAGTTTAGTTTTATTTATTTTATGTTATTTTTTATTTTTATTTATTTTTTTTTAATTTAATTTTTGGTTTAATTAACTTTAGTTAATTTTTATTATTACCTCAGTTTTTTTTATTTAATATAAATATTTTTGGTATATTGTATTTTTGTTAATTATTATCTTTCATTTGATTTTAATATTGATTAAAGTTAATTTTAATTAATTAAATTTTATATTTAAATTATTTTATTTTATTTTACTTAAATTTTAAATTAAATTTAATTTCTTTGTTTAAAATCTTTTTTTTTATAAGTTGATTAAAGATAATTTTATTTTATTTGCGCCCATTTAATTTTTGTCTAGTTTTTATATTTAATTTAATTTTGTTTAATTTAATCTTATTTTGTTTTGCTTGCGCAACTTATATTTTTGCGTTTCGTTTTGTTTTAAATCTTATTTAATTTTTTTAATTGTGTTCTATTCAAGTAAGAATAATTTAATGCGAGTTTTTCAATTAATTCAATTTTATTCTTTTTAATTTTTCTGTGTCTACTTCATTTTCTTTATTAATTTAATTTGATTGAAGTTGATTTTATTTAGTTTTACTTTTTTTTTTGTAGAAATTGAGTCAAGTTATTTCATTTTATTTAAATTCTTTAATCTATTTGATTTATATTTAATATAATTATATATTATTTCTTTTTAATTTATTTTATTTTACTTTAGTTAACACTTTTGCATTTATCTTTTTTCCCTTAAATAATTTTATTTTATTTTGTTGTCTTTCATTTTGAACTATTTACATTTTTTTAAATTAATTTATTTAAATTTATTTTAATTATTTGGTTTTTTTATTTGTATTTATTAATTTATTAAGTTATATTTTTTTATTAAATTTTTTTTTTAAATTAATTTAGTTTTATTTAATATTTTAGTATTTGTTTATTTTCACTCCAGTTTATTTTATTATATTTAGTGTGATATTATTTAATTTTAATAAGTTTAATCGAATTTTCTTTTATTTTGTTTTATTAATTTATTTATTTTATTTAATTTATTGCACATATTTAAGTTAATTTAATTTAAATAATATTTTTAATTTTATTTTAATTTATTTGTTATATTTTATTTTAATTTATTTGATATATTTTTTTTAAATTTATTTTATAATATATTTAATTTTCAGTTAATCTAAGCTCTTTCAAACATATATATACTCATATATCTCAATTGAAAAAGCAACAATGCGAACAATTAAATCGTAAAAGCTGACAACTTACTAAGCAAATAAAATCATCATCGCAAAGCATCGTGTTGTGTTGTTGAGCTCCTCTTCAAATATCAAATATAAATTAAATTTTGCTTTTGCTTTATTTATGGATATCGCGTTGGCGGTTTTAAATACGTGTTGCTGTTATGTTATTTTTAATTTTTAATTTTTTAATTTTTTTATTTTTTGATTTTAAATTAAGTTGCTATTAAACACTTGATCTCCACAAATATTTCTGTGCATTTATTGTTGTTTTACCACTTTTGGCCGTTAGCGATGTTCTGGTTCATTTGAGTATTTTGATTTTGCTGTTATTTTTGCTTATACTTATTCTTACCAGCGCGGATGTTTTGTTGTTTATATATAAATATATATATATTGCTTTTTTTGCGTTTGCTATTTTGTAATTTCAGATTTGTACTGAAACTCAAGTAGCTGACGTAATGCGCAACACAAACCGATGAGGGACGTTATTGTGGCTTACAAATTGGAAATAAACCACCTTAATCTCTTCTCATCACCCCACTCTCCCTATCAATACAATTTTTTCAATCACGAAAAAAATTTGTTTGAAGGATGCAAATCAAAAGGGTTTGTATTCGTTTTTCCACCTTCAAGAGTATCGCAGTGTAAACTCACTTCACGGCGCACCCGCGTAAGGGTTTTTTTATATTTTGTGTTATTCCTTTTTTTCGTGTTTTGCAATTATTATTATTTTTTTGCCTTTTAAAGGTTTTGGAAAAATACTTTGATTCTAAGTTCCATTTCTTTTCACTGCATGTTTATGTACATTTGTTCAACTGTTATTTAAAATTGCCTCTGGCAAGCTAAATTTAACCTTTTTCCCTGCTCCCGCTGAAGCAAAAGCCACTCCTTCTTGACGCTTCAGCGCGGCAAACGACTCCGTGACTTACTGCCACACTAATAACCTGCTTGACTGCTTGCTTGCAACACACATGCAAGCGTACATATAAAAATTGCTTGTATTTCTAAATATTCCCGATACATCCCGCATTGAAATTAATATCGAAATTATTATTTGCGCGGCTTCACTTGAAGTTTTCTTTTCTTATCGCTCTCACTGTGATTTTGCACTTTGGATAATATAAAAACTCAACGAATTTTTAAGTTTTACTAATTTTCCGCATTGGTGAGTTTACTGTTACATTTTATTGATTTCATTTTTACTAATTTTGCTTCAATTAAAATTTTCTATTCTTTTTTTTTATTTATTTTAATTATTGGAATACCGCTTCCTTCTGTGGCACTTCAAACACTTAATCAAATGTGAATTGTTGTCATTTCTTAATTGCTTTGAGCACAATTAAATGCGAGAATGCGACAAAACATATCAACGTTTGAGTTTTCCAAGCGAAACTTTTAAGCATGCGCAGTTCAACGCGTCCAGTGGTGAACTGAAGCCAATTGGGTGCTCTGCATAGCAGTTGGAGTGCCACTCAAAAGCGTTTTGTAGGCGCTGAATGTCTACTACTACAGTACTTGAGTGCACACACACACACACGCACGCCAATATGCCCACAGAAATGTTAGCCATCACCAGTTAAGGCAACGTGGAGCCAGATGTTATCACAGTCACGTCCGCTCAGCACTCCTGCAAGACCAAGCATTCGACTCATTTTGGTACGTGAGTGAGAATTTGAGTGTGTGTTTTAGCATTTGTTTTGAGTATTTTTACATGAGTCTTGAATTGTGTTTGTGTTGAATTTACCAAGCGCACGTTTGTCTCTACCACAAAAAAAATGCAACAAATGTTGGTTAGCAATTTTTTTGTCGTGTTTTTGGCATTTTAATTCGTCGTTCTTTTAGCTGCTTGCGAGTTTCGCGCGCTTTGCTTTTTGTTTAGTCACTTTTGGTAGATTGTTATTATTTTTTTTTTGTTTTAATTGGCAAATTTTTATTTTTGAATTCAACGACAACAAAACCAGGCCATTGTTCGGTAATAGAAAATCAAGCAAAACTAAAGTACCAGTACCAGTCCTCTTGCTTCTCTGTAAAGGGTAAAGTTGATTCGGCGATTTTCTTTCTTGCCTGTGTCTTGTTTTTGTACTGCAATGTAGAACCCATTTTTATAGATGACTGCTTTTATTGCCGCAACTGCTTAGTTTATCTATGCTCAAAGGTATGTGTCATGTATACATTTTGTATGCATGTATTGTATAAACTTTTAGTGTGTTTGTGAATAGTTTTGCTGGACGCATCTATTTATGTTTTTGTATATTATTTAAGCCCATTTGGGAGAAGAAACAAATAAATAAACAATTGAAGTTGTGTGCGTTCACAAAAAGTGAGAGCTCCATTCTTATAGATTTATTTATATATGAGCTTTCAACTTATGGGAGGATAATGCTTTATTATTTAATTTAATTTAATTTTATTTTATTTTATTTTATTTTATTTTATTTTATTTTATTTTATTTTATTTTATTTTATTTTATTTTATTTTATTTTATTTTTTATTATTATTAATTTTTCTTCATTTTGATTTTTGTTTCTTTGATATTATTTTATTTTATTCTAATTTAACCTTTTTAATTAATTTTTTTATGCTTTATTTATTTTTTCTTATTTTATCAGTTTAATTTTATTTCATTTAATTTAATCGAATTTTTAGTTAAATTATTTATTATGTTAGTTTAATTCGTAGTTTTTTTCATTTTAATTTAAATAAGTTTGCTTAATTTATTTAATTATTTTTTATTTTAGTTTTTAAATTGTTTTTCTTTGCTTTATATTATTTCATTTTATTTTAATTTAATTTTATTTAGTTTTATTTCATTTTTATTTTATTTGGTTATTAAATTTTAATTTATTTATTATATTTAATTTTTATCATTTTATTTCATTTTGGTTTATATTAGTTTTTCCATTTATTTTATTTATTTTTTATTTTATTTGATTTTCTTTAGTTTTTAATGTAATTAATTTAATTACTTATTATGTCACAACACTCATAACATTTACAGTATATTTACATATGCATGTGCGTAAATGCTTGAATGCCGGGTCTCACAGACTTTTGTGTATCGAAATTGAAAATTTGTTTAAGTAGTTATATATGTATTTTACACCTAATAGAAACCCAAGAAATAAATATTATTATATCAGGCTTTCTTTTTAAACTCCCTGGGTACCTTGCTCTGTATGGAGCACATTGATCTAATTCATTTTATTGTTCTAGATGACTCTGCACTCAGTATATTTATAGAACATGAAATATTTAGTTGCCTTTAAGATTTATGATGACATACCAATGTTGAAAATACAATGCATGTTTACATGCTCACATACTCAACGATGCGGAATAGCTCACTTCTAACATTACGAATAATTCTTGATTAAGTGCGACCATTTAAAGCGCATCAATAAATCACTCAAGCGGCAAAAAGTGTGTGGGCCAAAGCATGAGGTAAACGTATAAACGTAACACACTCAAGCCGCCTTTTTGTCTGTTGTTTTTGGATATGCGCATCTGTGACTACCGTGAGTGTGTCATCAAATAAACAAATTTGGGCTCTCAAGTGGCTCCAATGCTTGTGGAAATTGGGTATTTTTGGCACACTTGGCTGTACGTGGGCTTGTAATTGTATTGAAATGGTAAAATTTTTAAGCGGTTATGTATGTGTATTAAGAACAGAAATATTGCTTAAGATACCCGACACTTTTACAAGTTTGTAGCTTAAGTCTTTTGATTTTACTTATTTCGTGGAGGCAGGCGAAATTTAATTTTTTTTCTACAATTTACTTTGCTTCCGATTATTTTGTGATTTTTTTACTTTCTTACTATAATTCGAGTTTTTTTCAACCTTATTTTATTATATTAATATAATTTCCTTTCTTTTAACTTATCTTAACTTTAATTTATCCACTTAACTCTTTTATATCTTTTATTTAGTTTTTTCTATTTTATTTAATTTAATTTTATTTGATCTTTGATACAAGTTAATTGCAATTAATATTATTTAATATTATTTTATGTTTTATTTGTTTTTCATTTTTTTTAATATTATTTAATTGTATTTAATTTATTATATTCTTTAAAATTTGTTTTTTCATATATTTTATATTTTTATTTCACTTCATTTCATTTTAGATTACATAAATTTTTTTATTCTTTTTTAAATTTTTTTATTAAATTTATTTTATTTAGTTTTACTCTATTTAATGTTCTTTATTTAATCTTCTTACACTTTACTTTATTTTTTTTATTTTTTTTTTATTTTTTTTTTTCATTATGCCTTCATATATCGAAGCATTTGCAAATATTAATGTGGTTTATCATATGACATCAACTACACCCGCTAAACTCAGCCAACTTTCAGACAATTGTTCGCCAATCCGTCAAACGAGTGACAAATGTACATATATTTCAAATGCATTTGACACTTCTTAATTAATTCAACACGTATAAGCACATAAGCACGCAAGTAAATTTTAATAAATTCGTAAATCAAAGGAGAGCGGAAAGAAAAATGCCAATCCCTTGGCAACGAAGCGTTGAGATATCTTTTGGCAGTACATATGTTACATACATGCATATATATTGCCGGTCAATGCCACAGACAAATTGTTCGTTGCCAATTTGTGGCCAACACTGCCAATTGCTGTTTCCAGCAGCTGCGTATTGAATGAATCAATTCAACAACTACATATTGTATAGATATATGTATGTAGGTGCCTGTGTGAATGTAAAGTACACACTTAAAGAGTTCATTCATTGCTAGCTTTTGGAAGCGATCGCCATTTAGTTGGCGACAAAACAAATATGAATCGCCTTACTTGCCTGCAACTGTCAGCAGCACAGCTAGCGCGGGTGCTGAAAGCGCCCAAATGTGTTTGCCAATTGAATGGATAGTTGTGTAGAAGCAGGCGGCATATTTGAGAATTGGTTTATGCCAAAATGAAAAAAAAATCAGAATACAAAACTTGCACACGACATTTTGTGTTGTTGCAACATGAAAATTCTGAATGGAACAATTACTCGTGTGTAAATGAATCGAATTTTTAGGTTTCTATTGAATTATTTTTTTGTACCAAAAATGGAAAAATTAATAAAAAAAATAAGCTATTAGTCATAAGCACGTGCATTTGCAGAAAGAAGCGGCCATAAA